TAATTCTCTTGCAGTAGACCTGATATTTGTTATCTAGGCGATATTAGACTTTTAAGACCCTCATAAAAACTCGGTTAAGGAAAGGCATGAGAGATGACTGGGGCTAGAAAAATAAAGATGATGTATTGTGAATTAAGCTTGGTGTAGAACAGGTAATGGCTCCCATTGTGGATTGGATACCTTCCCATTACCCGCGTGCAATGGCTTGGGAGAAGACAGCTAGAGGGAACGTTGAGATAGGCTGATTAGTCACTGCTGGTCCTTCTGTCACTCAGGATAACGGTGGTCCAAGACTTCTCCAGCATCTATTTAATCTTTCAATTGATAGACAGGGAGCACATCAGTTTAGAAAATCCAGATGCTCTTTTGTGCTTACAGCTTTCTTAGAGTAGATGAGAAAGAGTTAATCTCTATACCTTGTGCCTCTCACAGGAATTATAGGTTTGGATAACCTGCTGCACTGGAGATGATCAGGAATTACAAGCTTCTATCATAGTATAGAGCTAGTGAGTTGATGCGTTTCTTTTAATTGTTGGCCATTCACAAAAATGGCTGTCTATTGAAAGCACTGCTGACTAAGCCTAGGTCTACTCTGTACTGGTAATTCAGTATTCTGGACACTTCATTTCCTGTACTTATCACCTTGGCGAGATTCTTAAGAAAGCTAGTAATAGGATCAGCAGCTTTGTAGGTCGTGATCAGACACGATCTGTAATGTTCAACAGCATTTTTTTTTTTTTGTCCATTTAGAGCTGTAAGGGTTGTAAATATTAAAAATGTTTCATTCTAATGAAGTAGGGGAAGGATTAGACCCACTGTCAGCTTATATGGCTCTGTGTCCCTGCTGGGTAGATTCATCCTCTTTAAAATATGGGATCCATCTGATTTTTTTTTTTTAGAGTTATCGCCAGATCAAAAAGTGATAGAAAAGCCCCCTATTTAGGACATCTGTTCCTGTGAAAGTGCTAAGTTGGGAATTCCTTTCACCTTAGCAAGATTTCCTCTCATTTCTTGTGCCTGCAGGACCTGGGATGTAGCGAAATCTCCCCAGCAGGATACCAATTATCAAAAACTGACTGTTAAAGCTAAAACGTATGCGTATGGAAACACATTTAAGTGCAAATTCAAACACACATGGTGGCTGGATAACCTACTAAAACAGGGCTTAAAATTTCAAGTCCTGAGCTACTAGCCAGGCCTTATGAGTTACTCACCACCACAAACACACACAAAACAGAGACACATGAACACAAACAGAAACATGTACACACACAGACACACATACAGACACATGTATACACACACAGGCACGTACAGACACACATACACACAGATACATGTACATACACACACACACATGTACACACACATACATGTACACACACATACATGTACATACATGCAGACACATGTACAGATGCACACATTAAGTGCCACCACTGGCTGACACAGGATCATGTGACCCGAGTGAGCTGAAATTAGGCACACACACAGCCCTATAAAAAGTTGCAGTACTTTGTTGTTCGCTCACAGAGCCGGTTACTGCACTCTAGGGGGAGGCAGAGAGCACAGCACACACTCCTGATGATGGCTCCCAGTGCCAATGACAGATCTGGCCTGAGCTCGGAGCCTGCTCAGCAAGACGGCCCTGGGGGACACACTCGCCCCCACCATAATTTCCACTCGCCATTGGCGAGCAGGCGAGTGGAAATTTCAAGGCCTGTACTAAAGGGTTTGCATTCCTTTCCATTGGGGGAAGGTAGGTGACCAGGATGTGTTGCCTAACTGCTGTAAAGAGAAGTCAGGTTGCCAGCCTGGATTTGCTGTCAGGAGGCCTGTGTGAATCTCGGTATTGGAAGAACAGAAATATAAATCATTTGGAAGGTAATACAGCTGCTATATTTGTATTTCATCTATTTTATCTTTTCCTCTTGAGTGCCTCTGTAACGTTGCATTGTAGCGCATGCTTTGAATGTATTTTGCTGTTTTAAATGTGCATTTTTGGTAGAGTGTCATGTGCACATTAAAGCTCTGAAAAAAAAACATGTTAAATGCAGAATTGTTGTAACAGAGCAGCCTGAATCCAAAATCTGTTTGTGTCAAGACTCAGCCTCTTATTAGCTTATTATCAGCTCTCCCAGAGCCAGGGAGCAAACAATAATTTATACACAATTATATTTAGAGATCATAACAGCTGCTTCATTGTAGTTTTTTATGCAGATTATCATTTAGGCCGAAGTTCTTTAATTCACACCAAGACCAAGAGCTCCTAACTTTATATATTATTAAAAACACAACACATTCTGCCCAGGTTAAGCCTTTAGTTTTTGGATGGCTCGAGAATAGGCATTATCTCTTCCTGACAATTAGAACTCCTCTGCATTGTTAATTGCGTCTTTCAGCCGTCACACATCTCATTATCTTTCTGCCGATTGTCGACAAGCGTGGATTTGGCAGTAAATTGAAGGCTGAAAACGCTTATTAGCATGGGAGATGTGCTGAGTGCAGACAAATACGCCAAGATTCGAACATGACAAGTTCAATAAGATGGGACATCCGCTTCCAGACGTGCTCTTCATGCGAAGGTTGGACCCTTCCCTCGGCTTAGACGTGCATTTCTTGAGAGTTTGTTGTTTGAATAGTGCTCGGAGTTGCTGCTCATAATCCCAGAGTCGTGATCTTTTTCCCGTGGAAATTAACTGTACATGCTTGTTTAAGCAAATGATCCTCTTGCAATTTGCGCTGTTCTCCAGCCATGAGGTCGGGGATTGTCTGACACCTGTTTCTATAAAAATAGGCCTTGTCTGGTCTAGAACTGAATCGAGCTAAGGACATACACAATGTGGTGCCTACAGGCAGTGATTAAATGAGTTGGTTGGAATTATGAAATTTTAGACTGGCCTTTAATGCCAGGTTTACGACTGAATCCGGTGTCGGGGTTCGTGTAGAGAAAGGTGGTGGCTGGGTTTCTCTTCTGACAGAATCAAGACTGGAAAGCCTCCAAATGTCCCTCTTTCCTCCACAATTCTCCATTTTACTTTAAATGCATAGATCTGGACGCACTGACAAAAATACAGTGCATTGCTGTAGTGAGTATGCAGTGTTTAAGTTATGTTTGTTACTTCCTATTCAGTGTTTTGCCTTTCATATACAGCAGTGGTTCTCAACCTGTGGGTCGCGACTCCTTTGGGGGTCGAACGACCCTTTCACAGGGGTCGCCTAAGACCATCGGAAAATACATATTTCCGATGTGTAAAGAGCAGCTACTGTGTAGAAAGCAGCTACTGTGTTGAAAGCAGCTACTCTGTTAAAAGCAGCTACTGTGTTGAAAGCAGCAGTATTGGAGCTAAAACGACACTCATGAATTATAATTACTGGGTAAATAATTTTATGGTTGGGGGTCACCACAACATGAGGAACTGTATTAAAGGGTCGCGGCATTAGGAAGGTTGAGAACCACTGATATACAGGGTGGTAAAGCTTCCTCTTGTGGTCATTTTTATATTGGAACACCGTTTGCATTCCTGCTTTACAAGAGGCAGACATGGCTGGGCTTATTCAAGAAACTGAGTATTCAATCCTCACATGTTCAGACTATAAATATTGTTATAACAGCAAACTTTTATATATTTTTGTTTGTTTGGGGCTTTTTTTTAAGCTTTATTTACTTTATTTGAGCCTCACATTTCAGACTCCTTGTTGGCTTTGAGGACACCTTAAACTTGAGAGCTGCTGGTTTTTCAGTTGTCTGACCTCAGAGTCTTCCAGCTCATGAAAATACATATTAGTTTTAAATAGGAGAACGCAATAGGACTATTTTATTTGCCAATATTATACACTGTCAGGACTTGGGAGGCCGTGTATGAGGTCAGCCAGATGACAGGGGAGGCAGTGTATGAGGTCAACCAGGTGGTAGGACAGTAACAATGAGACTTGAAGAGGCCCTTGAAGCAGGATCTTGAGTCTCAGGCTCAGAAAAAAAAATAAGCACAGCTAAATGTGAATGTTAATATAATTTAGGAGTAAAGAATCGGATCCTTATGTAAACCAAGGTATGACTGGTTCTCTTTAAAGATTGTTGGCATGAGCTCAGCCTTAGACTTTCAATAGATATGAATGATGTATAAATACATCAGTGGTTCATATAGTGAACTCGGTGTAGAGCTATTCACCCTGAGGTCATCACAGAGGACAAGGGGACACTCTTTACGTCTGGAGGAAAATAAATGTAATCTCCAAATACGGAAAGGTTTCTTCACAGTGAGAGCTGTGAAAATGTGGAATAGAGTCCCTCAAGAGTTGGTTCTGGCCAGCTCAGTGGATTGCTTTAAAAAAGGCCTGGATTCTTTCTTGGATACACAGAATATTACTAGATACTAACATTTATGGGTAAAGTTGATCCAGGGAATATCCGATTGCCTCTCAGGGGATCAGGAAGGAATTTCTTCCCTGCAGGAGCAAATTGGATCATGCTTTGCTGGGTTTTTTAAGCCTTCCTCTGAATCTACTGTGGGTATAGGATTATAACTTTTTTTTTTAATGGTTGAACTGGATGGACTTGAGCTATGTGTTTAGCAGCCAGCTGATCTGTCTACTCTCAGACTGGTTAGTTGGACTGGTCAGTAGAACAGGTTAGGACATCTTGTTCTGTTGTTTTCTTCCCCTTGACAAGCATCGCTAGGACTGTCAAGGCACCCCTTACTCTAAAAAGCCCTTCTTCATAGTTTCCACTTAGTCTAGATGAGCCATCCATGTTTATGATGCACTGTGCAGAGCTCAAATGGGAGTTTAGCTGTATGACCCTGCTTGGCCATATGGTCACTCCGATGTCTGAGGTTGGACCTGACCCATGAACTTGCAACAAGAGGGATGATCAATGTAGATCACACATGTTTGTATTGCTTTGTTTATGTAAAAATCCACCCTGTAGATGTGCTGGTACAATGATGTGTAGACACTAACAGAACCTAATCTTTATTTTCAGGTATGATTATCGTGAAATGCTGCACAATGCCACTTTCTGTCTGGTCCCCCGTGGCCGCAGGCTTGGATCCTTCAGATTTCTGGAGGCTCTGCAGGTAAGACTACATTTTAACTTTCTATTTTTTTAAATATCCCTTTACAACATCAAAGTACCCTAGTTTGTATGTTACTCTCAGTCATACTCATCTTGTAAACACTTCTAATGTATGTAGTATGTATGCAGCTGCAGACACTAGCTTTACTTACTTTGACCATGGCATAGGTTTGCTTTACCATTACCTTGTAGTAGAAAAAAAACAAGCTAAAGCTGGCCATAGATGGAATGATCCTCAAATTTTATCAATGCACTTGAAAACGAAAGTTGATGTGACCCACAAATGATTTGCAAAAAGTGAACAGACTTTCTTGGAACATTCTTTTCCTAGGTAGATTTTTGAATGAAAATTCTTATCTATGGCCAGCTTAAAGCGGACATAAACTACATTTGAGCACCACAAACCAAAAACACCATTTAGGTCATTTTTAATAATCAAAGCAAACTCCCCCATCCATCCATATTTCCATGCTTTATTTTGCTGAGAAATCACTTTGGTACACCCCCCCCCCCTCCCCCCAGCATTTCTAGCCACAACCATCTTGAGTAAGGGCAGATGATTCATGTAGTATTTGCTTTTTGGAATCCATCTGCTCTTAGCTCAGGCATGCAAACAGGAGGGTGTGCTTAGCTGAAAAAACTCTTCCTCCCCTCCCTGAAGACTCCTGGGCCTGGAAACCAGGAAGTAACTCAAGAAATGTAAAAAAAAAAAAAAAAAGTAAATATGATACTTTCATATTTGTTTACTAATGTTAGCAGCATAGGATTACAAATAGTTAAAGTGTTACTAAACCCAGGACCCTGCATTCACTATATCTGGTCTCCCCAGACCCTGCATTCACTATATCTGGTCTCCCCAGACCCTGCATTCACTATATCTGATCTCCCCGACCCTGCATTCACTATATCTGGTCTCCCCGGACCCCGCATTCACTATATCTGGTCTCCCCGACCCTGCATTTACTATATCTGGTCTGCCCAGACCCTGCATTCACTATATCTGGTCTGCCCAGGGACCCTGCATTCACTATATCTGGTCTGCCAGGACCCTGCATTCACTATATCTGGTCTCCACGGACCCTGCATTCACTATATCTGATCTCCACGGACCCTGCATTCACTATATCTGGTCTCCATGGACCCTGCATTCACTATATCTGATCTCCCCGGACCCTGCATTCACTATATCTGATCTCCCCGGACCCTGCATTCACTATATCTGATCTCCCCGGACCCTGCATTCACTATATCTGGTCTCCCCGGACCCTGCATTCACTATATCTGGTCTCCCCGGACCCTGCATTCACTATATTTGGTCTCCCCGGACCCTGCATTCACTATATCTGGTCTCCCACAGTACACACACAACATGGAAATGCAACTATTTTAGTAAATATAAACTGCTAAATACCTTTTCTCATCAGCAGTTAGAGCAGTCTTATGACTTCAGCAGAGCACTGGTTAAAGCTTCTAGGAGGAATTTTTCTTTCTGCCCTAGGAGGATATAAAAGTCCTGACCTCTGTCTGGACAGTGCTGATTGGCCCAGTGCTGATCACATGCACTCTCCCAAGAAAAAAAAAAACCTCTCTAGCAATACACACCAAACTGAGCATGTGCATATGACTACGGATTCAATCTGTATCAGGTGGTCATTTCAACAACAGGAGGGGCAGGGAAGAAAGGTTCAAACAGCCTTTTTACACAATGCAGAGGATTAACCCTCTAGATTCCACAGTGAGTATAACCAGCGTGCTTTACTGCATATACAGACCGATTTTACTGTTGTGGGTTTAGTAACACTTTAATGTTGATTGAGAGTGTGAAGTTCTGCTTTAGCCTGCCAGTTCATAACAAGCCGCATAAGATGCCTACTCTTACCTTTGCTTTGACCCTCCACTGCAGAAGGCAATGATTGAACCCCCTACTATCTTTGCAAGTTTCAGCTTTAAGAAGGTTGAAAGTTGCAGAGAGTTAAGCAAACTCCTCCATATGTCAGCCTAGGTCTGGTAATTGGCTGTTCAGGCAAAAAAAACAAAAGCTCTGCAATGAAAATGTTAGGGAGACAGTACACATGTACCTTTATATTTGGAAGGACGGGGTATCTGCTGGGGGTCTGTAGGAGAAGCAAAGGTAAGAGTAGATGCCTTGTAGTGACTGCTGTTTATCAATAGGCTTTGTTTTTTCCCCATATAGGTTTATTTTAAAAGGCTATTAAAAGAAAATGAGAAGAGTTGTGTGTGTGCGGACTTATTGAGTATGATGCCTCTGGCCCATTGTGTTCAGAGCAGCATAACAGCTGTTATTGCCAGTCTCACTTGTTTCGGCATTGTGATGCGGCCTAATCATTGTCCAAGTACTAATGTAATTTGCTTGGCCTTTTCACTTGTTGTTAATGAAGAGAATGGAGATGTGCTGCAATGCCTTAATGGTATGAATAACTTCATCTGCAGGCTGCATGTGTTCCAGTGATGCTAAGTAATGGATGGGAGTTACCATTCTCTGAAGTGATTGATTGGAACCAGGCGGCAGTCATCGGGGATGAGAGGTTATTATTACAGGTGAGAGTTACTTCCGTTAAAAGGAAATTTCCACTTTTATATTCATTTGGGACTCATTATTATTATTATTATTATTGTATGATTATACAGGATTTATTAAGCTCCAACAGTTTGCACAGCACTCTTTAATATAAGTGCATTTACAATACAAGTGGGCGAGAAAGACCCTGCTCCTGAGAGCTTACAATCTAAAAGGAAAGGGCACTTGATTCAAAAGGTAATAACTGTGAGGGTGAGCTGATGGAGAAAGTTAATGTTCTGTTGGGTGGAGGTGGGATAAGCCTCCCTGAAGAGATCTGTTTTCACGGATTACCTAAACATGGAATAGTAGGAGATAGTCAAGCAAATTAGGGTAAGGAGTTGCAAAGGATGGGAGAAGCTCTGAAAAGTCCTTGATGCAAGTATAGGGAGATTTGATGAGGGAGCTAGAGAGCTGGAGGTCATGAGAGGAACAGAGAGGGCGGTTTGGGTGATATTTTGAGATGAGGTTGGTGATGTAGCTGGGGCAGAGCTTTGGATGGCTTTATATGTTGTTAGTATTTTGAATTGTATTTGTTGGGCGATTGGAAGTCAGTGGTGTGGTTGGCAGTGAGGGGTTGTGGACAATTAATGGTTGGTAAGGTGGATGAGTCTGGCAGTAGCCTTTACGATAGACTGAAGAGGGGATAGCCTGTAGAGAGGTAAGCCAACAAAGAGGAGCTGCAATAGTTAAAGCTAGAGATAATATGTGAGCGAAGTTCCAGTAATTGGTTTAGAGGGACTTTTTTTTGGAAATGAAAATTTGGACAGTGATTGACGGAGAAGTTGAAGAAGTCAAGATTACACCTAGAACCCTGACATGAGAAGAAGGGTCAATAGTTGTCTTGCTGATCAAAGTTGAGGGGAAGTGGAGGGGTGGTGAAGAAAATATTATGAGCTCAGCTTTGGAAAGGTTGAGTTTGAAGAAGTGGTGTGCCATCCATTCAGATATACCAGTAAATTAGTGATGAGATGAGACTGAAGGGGTGAGGTTAAGAGCAGAGAGATATTTGGGTGTCATCCGCATAGAGATGGTATTGGAAGCCATGCAAGATGATCAACTGGCCAAGAGAGGAGGTTCAGATAGAAAACAGAAGGCTCTGTCCTTGGGCTCCATCTATTCTCTGTTTATCATTCACACCAGATGCATTGTCATATGTTTTGCAGAGCAAACAAAATGCAGGGAAATGAGAAGGTCCACTGTTTTTCAATAGGGGGGGGGGGGGGGGGGGGGGGCTCACTCTGCCAAATGTGCTTTGCTGCTGTGTAGTTTTGCATGCTGCATTTATGATGCGTCTCTGGGCAGAACAACCGTTATATACTGGCCTTCTAATGCCAGCAAAAGGCCATTATTATACACATGGTTTGTATGGAGCTCTCATTTAAGGTGTACTTAGAATTTTGTATAAACAGTATGGGGAAGGTGGAGAAGACCGCTCGGGTGTGATATGTGCATTGTTTGTAGTAATGCTTTGAAATAATAGTTGTACTTGTCACATTACCCCCAGTCACACGTATAGTGCCGCTATGGTAAGGGCAGACCATATACAGGCACACAGGATTAAAATATGTCTTTAAAGCTGAATGCCAGGGGAACAGCAAATACACACATGAAATACATATAAAGGGCAAGTTTACCTGCCAGACAATTGTTTTTTGTGTCCAGTCCTGGGATTTACACAGCTCTGCTACACCGCACGGACCTTTCTGGCAGAAGAGGAGACCGGATTTTTCTTTGCTGCATATCAGTAGCTGTTCCTCATTGTGATTAAACAGTGAAAGGAAAAGCAGCTCTTCTTTCTCCTCCCTACCAGTATGCTCCTTACACTACATCATGGCTGGCTGGCTCATTATACTAAATCACAGCTGGATGGCTCATTGCATTACAGCCAGGGGCAGACTGACAACTCATGGGGCCCCCGGGCAATAGGGGATCATGGGGCCCCTGTGCCCTTGCCCAAACTCAAAAAAGCCTATGAAAATGGTACCAGGGGCATCTCATGGGGCCCCTTACTGACCCCCGGCAGTGCCCGAGTTTCCAAATGGTCAGTCCGCTTCTAATTACAGCATAACCAGCTGGTTCATTGCAGCACAGCAAAACTGATTGGCTCCTTGTGCTGGTTCTTCCTCCACCAGTCTGAGTTCTGCTGTACAGGGACTGCAAGAGGCTTATAAAGTCAAAATCAGGTACTGACATTAAAAAAAAAAAAAAATACATTTAGTAATGTAATAATTAATAAAAAGGGTGCATTAAAGCGGTATTAACCTCAAAAGCAAACATTTATTATATTACAGCTTACCAATTCCTAGATGTGATGGTTGCATTAGTTTTCTTTTGAGTGTTCTTTTTTCTTTCCTTCTTCTGTTTTCATCTGGTGATACAGCCAGTAAGTCTGTTGTTTTTCAAAACAACAAGCTGTCTAGCAAAACGTATCAGTTACAGTAAGTCCTCATGCACACCTGACGTTTTTACAGCGGCTGTTTTTGGCTTTTGACGGTTTTTTTCTACAGCCAGTAAACTCCCCAGCATGTTATCCTATGTGTCCGTGTGCACACAGACTGTAATCAACGTTTTTTGGCTGGAAAACAACCCAGAACTAGTGGGTTTCTAGAGGAGTTTTTTAGCTGTAAAAACTTTCTAACGATGAAAAATGCAGTACATCGCGGCAAACCGGCATTTTTAGACATTTTTGGGGGAAGAAAAACAAAACCGCAAATGCAAAAAATGCGGCTAAACGCTAATGCAAAAACACTGAAAAACTCAAGTTTTTAACGCGACTTTACATGCGTTATTAAAATGCCCCGTGTGCATGGAGAATAATACTGTTAAGGGTGCTTACATAAATAAAAGCTGATCGTTGTAAAACCTTTATTACAAAAAGGAAAAAAACTGTTTACTGTAACTGCTTCTAGATGGACTAGCAGATTTAGATACACTAACACTCCCCTCCCCTAAGACTGACAATGCCGCTGTCCAAAGGTACCCCCCTGTGCTCCTTCACCCAGAGTGGGGCCGCTCTAAGGCTACGTTCACACTAGCGTTGTGTGCAGGCGGCAGAGGCGTTTGGGAAGCGTTTTTACCGCTTCCCAAATGCCTCTGACAATTCTGCACATTGCAGCACATGGTGCTGTTCTAACGGGAGCTTTTGCGTCGCGGCAAAACGGACGCCTCTGGTCGAGTCAGGAGGCGTTGAAGCCTCCTATTCTCGTCTATGGTGCCGCTCTGCAAACGCCCCCGGCCGGCGTTTGCGGTGCGGTTGCGGGGCGTTTGCGGAGCGTAACACCACTCAAACTGCATTATAGGCGTTTGTGGGGGTCTTATTAATGCTCGGCAAACGCCTAGCAACCGCCGCTAAACCGCGCATGCGGCGTTAGCGGAGCGTTAAAAAACGCTTTGCAAACGCCGGACCAGTGCTTGCCAAACGCTATAGGGGCGTTTGGCAAGCATTGGTAAAACAGCCAAGTGTGAACGAGCCCTAATACAGATGTGGTACTTGCCAGACCACCAGGTGAAAACAGAGGGGAAAAGCAAAGAAAAAAAAAAAAAAGAAAACTAATGCAGCCATCACATCTACTGATTGGTAAGCTGGAATATATTTTTGGTTTTGTGTCTAATATCGCTTTAATTATTATTTTATATCTGCTAGCGTTCAGCTATAAATTTGACATATAAAATACACCAGAACACTGATCTCCCTATCCTGATCTGCCTCATTCCCATTATCACCAGTACTACAGGTGCACATGGTGCTGTTCTAACGGGAGCTTTTGCGTCGCGGCAAAACGGACGCCTCTGGTCGAGTCAGGAGGCGTTGAAGCCTCATATTCTCGTCTATGGTGCCGCTCCGCAAACGCCTGGCCGGCGTTTGCGGTGCGGTTACGGGGCGTTTGCGGAGCGTAACACCACTCAAACTGCATTATAGGCGTTTGTGGGGTGTTATTAATGCTCGGCAAACGCCTAGCAACCGCCGCTAAACCGCGCATGCGGAGCGTTAAAAAACGCTCCGCAAACGCCGGACCAACGCTTGCCAAACGCTATAGGGGCATTTGGCAAGCGTTGGTAAAACAGCCAAGTGTGAACGAGCCCTAATACAGATGTGGTACTTGCCAGACCACCAGGTGAAAACAGAGGGGAAAAGCAAAGAAAAAAAAAAAAGAAAACTAATGCAGCCATCACATCTACTGATTGGTAAGCTGGAATATATTTTTGGTTTTGTGTCTAATATCGCTTTAATTATTATTTTATATCTGCTAGCGTTCAGCTATAAATTTGACATATAAAATACCTCGGAGCACTGATCTCCCTATCCTGATCTGCCTCATTCCCATTATCACCAGTACTACAGGTGCACATTGTATACTACTAATATACTATGTACAGGGTTTGCTGTATAGATCGTGTCTGATGAGATGTTCCATTATTTTAATGAACTGTAAGTGCACAATAATGGCATGCCTATATGTCGTCAGCACCTGCCAGTCCTACACGTCTCTCCCTTCCTGTACTACATTCCCCTTTAACTGCCCTTCTACTCTCGGGTAGAACAGCTTTAATTTGTGGTACCTGAATTCTGTGCAGTATTGACCTTTATTGCTAATCCCTGCTGGCTTGTGCTTCCTCGGGAACATGACAGACCTGGGAATTAAAGCATACTGGAGCCATTGCATTAACACCTTCTCCTTAATGAGAAAAGTAGATGTGTTAATTCTTTGGCTGCCCCTACATCTCTTTCCCGGCAGCTTCGGCTGCTGCATGAACTGTTTTCTGGGCTTCGTACGGCAAGTGCAGCTCTTGATTACAGAATCGAGGTGACAAAATAAAAAGCACAGCTGGCTTAAAGTGAAGAGAAACATGGTCATTGCCATTGCTGACCTTTTCTGTTTAACATTGCTGTTGGCTTGGCTGCTGTTCTGACCCCTTTTTCTGCATGTTTTGACCTGGGAAATGTATACAAATAATGGGTTTTTGTCTTTACACCAAC